TTCTCCCTTTTTCCTTCCTTCCCTCTTTCTATTCCTTCCTTCCTCTATCATCTCCATCTCCTCCCTCTCTCCCTCTCTCCTTTCCTTTCTCTCTTTTTCTCTTCCTTTTTTTCTTCCTCCCTCCCTCATTTCTCCTTCCTGCCGCTTTCGGCCTTCCCAGATTCTGGGCACAGGGCTGCCGGTGTTGGGCATCTTGGCCATTATCGATGCCCGGCACCGAGGAGAACATTGTTGGCCAACCAGGACGGTGCCAACCTGAAGGGAAAAGCCAAATTTGAGCCTGCGGGTCAAGGGAGCCGGTTTGCCAAATTGGCAGCGAAGAGGCAGAACCGGTTCGGCTGGCTTCGCCCTTCTCGGTCGCGAGTGTGAGAGACGCGCTTCTCCATTTTCGCTTCGCCCACTCCAGGACTGGGTGCGAATACTTTCCGTATTCAAAGGAATTTTTCCCCGGGGTGATTGACAGCCGCAAAGAGGCTCGAGGCTCGGAAGAATCTGGACAGATACCGACAACTCCCCGCAGCGAGAAATCTAGGCCATAAGGACGAAAGCCGACGATGCTTATAACCTACTTTTCCTTCAGCTGTGCGGATTGGCTTGCTGTTTGATCTCACTCCCTTGCAGGCAGAAACATTGCAATGATGCTGGGGTCCATTTAGGAGCACGACGGAGCCCCAAATTTCTCTTGCTAAGCGAGACGGTCGCTAAGTGAGTTTTGCCCCCGTTTTACGACCCTTGTTAAGTGAATCCCTTGCAGTTCTTAAATTAGGAGCAGGGTTGTTAAGTGAATCTAGCTTAAGGTCGCAAAAGGGGATCACGAGACCCCAGGAAACGGCGGCCGTCGTTAAGTACGAGTTGCCAAGCGTCTGAATTTGGATCCCGTGACGAGGGAGATGCTGCAATGGCCGTAAGTGTGAAAAACGGTCCCTTTTTCCAGCGCCGTTGTCACTTTGAAACTGTCACTAAATGAGGACTACCAGTCGTTGGGGATTTCCTGCATTGGTCATTCCTGTCTCGGTTTAAAAGACAACTGAATATTTGCACTTTTAGTTAAAAATGTACCAGGGAGGGCAAAATATCCCATCCAAGCAAATAAATAACTTGAGAGGTCAGGAGAGGCTGCCACCGTCCACGGCGTGAAACTCCCAATTGTGCAAAAAGGTGTATTTACACGTACAAAAACATGCAGGTTTTGACTCAACCGTCTTTCGGTGAAAGACAAGCCGTGGATTTCGATAATTTTATGTTTTAGAGAAGAGAGAGCTGGAGGAGAAGAGGCTGCCGACAGACGCTACTGGAAAACGGAAGGAAGGAAGGAAGGACAGGAGGGAAAGGGAAGGGAAGGGAAGGGAGGAAAAAAGAAAGGAAAGAAAGGAGGAAGAGGGAAGGGAAGGAGAAGAAGGGAAGGGAAGGGAAGGGAGGAAAAAGAAAGGGAAGGGAAGGAGAAGAAGGGAAGGGAGGAAAAAAGAAAGGGGAGGGAAGGAGAAGAAGGGAAGGGAGGAAAAAAGAAAGGGAACGGAAGGAGAAGAAGGGAAGGGAGGAAAAAAGAAAGGAAAGGAAAGGAGGAAGACAGAAGGGAAGGAGAAGGAGAAGAAGGGAAGGGAAGGGAAGGGAGGAAAAAGAAAGGGAAGGAGAAAAAGGGAAGGGAAGGGAGGAAAAAAGAAAGGGAAGGGAAGGAGAAGAAGGGAAGGGAAGGGAGGAAAAAGGAAAGGGAAGGGAAGGAGAAAGAGGGAAGAGGGAAGAGAAGGAGAAGGAAAGAAAGGAAGGGAAGGGAGGAAAAAAGAAAGGGAAGGGAAGGAAAAGGGGAGTGGGAAAGATAGGGAAGGAAGAAAGGAAGGAAACAAGGGGGGGAGGGAGGGAGAAGAAGGGAGGGATGAGGGAGGAAGGGAAGAGGAAAAGAGGGAATAAGGAAAAGGAAGGAAGGAAAGAGAGGCAAGGGAAGGGGAGAGGGAGGGTGGGAAGGAGGAATAGAGACGGAAGAAAGGAAGGGAACGAGGGAGAGAAGGGAGGTAGAGAGGGAAGAAGAAGGGAGGAAATAAAGGAAAGGAAGGAAGGAAGGCAGAAGGAAGTAAACGTTATTTCTCCATTGCTGCAACTTACCGTCTTCTCTACCTCACTCATCAAACACCCTCCTCCAACCTTCAATTTTGTTTCCCCCCTCCCCAAAATTAGCCCCCCCCCACGACTCCCACCCCCACCGCCTCTCCCCCAAACCCTCCCACCCCACCTCCGAATTCTCTTTGCGCCTGCAGGGCAACCTCTCGTAAGCACCGGAGAGGAAGATGCCCACCTGGACCAATTCCATGCATTCCCACCCCCCCCCCCCGTCCAGCTGAAAAGCCCCCCCCCTACCCTTCCCCTACCCCTACCCCGGAACCCACAACTTGGGAAAACTCACGATTAAAACAAAGACGCCCAGGAACTCGGCCAGGCATTGCCGCAGGAGGGGGCTGCGAAGCCTGCAACGGGTTCGAAGTGTGCCCAGCCAGCGGGCGTAAGACATGGCAAGGCTGGCGCGGCGAGGGAGAGAAGCAGGCTGGCGCAGGGCAATATATATATATATATATATATATATATAATGCCTCCGTTGCAAAGTTCCTTGGCTGGGCAACGAGGAGGATAATAGCTAATTATTCAGGGTTGATTAATTACCTGGCCAACTAGTTACGTAAGGGCAAAGGGCAGAAGAGGGAAAGGAACGGTCAGTGGGCACGACGGTGGGTGGGTGGGCGGCCAGGGGAGAGGTCCAGCTTGCCTCTGGGGAAGTCCTCGGAGGAGACAACAGGTAGACTTGGCTCAGCTAGGGAGGCTTGTTCAGCCAGGTTTGGGGTATGCCCCCCGGAGATTGGGCGTTGGAATCGTTGGCACCCGTTTGGGCATCTTGGCATTCTCCGCCGGCCTTGCCCTTTGGGATGTTGGAACGGTACACAAAAACACGCACACACGCGGAGCAGGTCACGGGCGTCTCTCGCACACAGGACACCGCCCAAGGAGAGGCCTTGCCAGGTTGGACGGGCGCCAAGGCTGCGGCCCCGAAGTCAAAGTGGGGGGGGGGGAGAGGGTGGGCATAGGGGGTCGAGGTTGGTCCTGGGTTTGAATCGAAGGAGGGGGGGGAAAGGGAGTTTTTTTTTAATTTAGGGATCTGCCAGGGAGGAAAAAGGCTGTCGAAAGACCCCATATCCAGAGGCAGAGATTTCTGAGGTTCTAATATACGCAGGTTGTCCTAGACTTACGACCGTTCGCTTAGTGACCGAAGTTGCAACGGCCCTGGAAAAAAAGGGACTTACAATTTACGGATGTTGCAATATCTCCGGGGGTGGGGTCAAAGACAACTGACTCGTACATATGACGGATGTGGGGGCCACAGGATTGAGATTCAGATGTTTTAAGACAACTGACTCGTACTTATGATGGTGGTGGGGGGCACGGGATCGAGATTCGGATGTTTTAGATAACTGACTCATACTTATGACGGTCATGGGGGACACCGGATCGAAATTCGGACGTTTAAGACAACTGACTCGTACTTATGACGGACGTGGGGGGCACGGGATCGAGATTTGGATGTTTTAGATAACTGACTCGTACTTATGACGGACGTGGGGGACACGGGATCGAAATTCAGAAGCTTAAGACAACTGACTCGTACTTATGATGGTTGCGAAGGACACGGGATCAAAATTCGGACGCTTAGGCAGCTGACTCGCACTTATGACGGTTGCAGAGGTCACGCAATCCACCTTTTGCGACGAGCGAATTCAAGGGGGACGTCGGATTTGCTTAACGGCCGCGGAGGTCCACTGAACGGCGGTGGCAAGGGGAGATCGTAATATGATGCAAGGCTCACGTTAGCCACGGGCTGTCCCGCTTAGCAACGGGCTCAATTGTGGTCCTGAGTTAAGGGTTACGATGCCTCTCCGTCGGCACTGGAGAACCTCCAGCTTCAGGAGCAATCTACCTGCAGTATTCCCAGACTCGGGAACTAGAAGGGTGATTTCCAACGGGGTTTTTTCTGAAGTTTCTGCCTGGGCGATTTCTTTGCCCAAATCCTCCCCAAATCTTCCAAAAGGAGAAAAAAAAAATAGCACGCAGACCAACCTCAAGCATAAATATAGTTTTTTTTTATTTGTCCTATTTTCAGGCTACGAAGACGACGACCGAGCAGGAGGCAGGAGCGAGCTCAGGAAATGCATAGAAATCTGGGGGGAAATGACAATATATATATACAGTACATATATATACATACTTATACATACTTATACATACATCATACATATACACATACATATATATATATATATATATTCCTTCCTCCTCCTATTTTCCTCACGACAACCTTGTGAGGTGGGCTGACAGGGAGGGACTGCGCTGGCCTTCATGCCTAAGGCAGGACTAGAACTCCCAGCCTCCTGGTGATTGGCCCAAAGTCACCCAGCTGGCTTTCATGCCTAAGGCGGGACTAGAACTCCCAGTCTCCTGGTGATTGGCTCAAAGTCACCCAGCTGGCTTTCATGCCTAAGGTGGGACTAGAACTCCCAGTCTCCTGGTGATTGGCCCAAAGTCACCCAATTGGCTTTCGTGCCTAAAGTGGACTAGAACTCCTAGTCTCCTGGTGATTGGCCCAAAGGCACCCAGCTGCCTTTCATGCCTAAGACGGAACTAGAACTCCCAGTCTCCCGGTGATTGCCCCAAAGGCACACAGCTGTCTTTCATGCCTAAGACGGAACTAGAACTCCCAGTCTCCTGGTGATTGGCCCAAAGTCACCCAGCTGTCTTTCATGCCTAAGGCGGGACTAGAACTCCCAGTCTCCTGGTGATTGGCCCAAAGGCACCCAGTCGGCTTTCATGCCTAAGGCGGGACTAGAACTCCCAGTCTCCTGGTGATTGGCCCAAAGTCACCCAATCGGCTTTCATGCCTAAAGCGGGACTAGAACTCACCATCTCCTGGTGATTGGCCCAAAGTCACCCAATTGGCTTTCGTGCCTAAAGTGGACTAGAACTCCCAGTCTCCTGGTGATTGGCCCAAAGTCACCCAATCGGCTTTCATGCCTAAAGCGGGACTAGAACTCCCAGTCTCCTGGTTTCTAGCCTTCACTACTAGACCGAACTGAACCATATGCAGGGCAAGGCTTAAGACGGAGAAAATGCCATCTGGGCACGGATCTTTCCCCTTACCTGCCTCTCTGCCGGCAGAATTATTGGTTCGGGAACCAGCGGCGGAAAAAGGTGTTGAGAATAGAACTCGTGTCACTCAGGTCTCCATCCGGGCCGGAGCTGAAAGAGGCCGGATCTCCTGCAAAACACCGGGAGGGGGGAAAAAAATTTCCTACTGATGTTTTATTCCCGTTTCCTTAAAGAGATTCACGTTCCTGATTCTTTTGCTTGCCCAATTTCAATGTACCAGTTGCCCTCCGCAGCCATGAGGACTAGAAACATGTGTCGGCGGCCTTTGGCAAAAAAAAAAAAAAAGAAAAAAAAAGAGGATGGCCCACCCACCCACCCCGGAGACTTACGTGGGCCTCTCGGCAGGCCGTCGTCAGGCCCCAGGCTCCGAGTAACGACGGTCTCCTCGTGGCCCTGGCTGTCGCGCACCGTCCGGCGTTCCTCGACCGTCTTAAAATCCGGAGAAAAAAAAAACAGCCAGAAATTCAGAATTGATAACAGATTTCGATTTGAAAAAGGGCCCTGTCAGGTTTCGAGGTCGTCTCAAATAAATTGCATTTCAAACAAAGTCTTTGAAGAAAAACTCCTATTTATTAAGCACAACATTTTAAACCCGACTCCATGGCAGCCAACACTGACTTCCAGACCCAAAACCCTCCCTTTCCGTTCCCTACTCCCCTGCACTCATTGGCCATCTTCCAAGTCATTCTACCCCTAATCTACTGCTCCAGCTCAAAGGAATTTCCCCCCTCCCATCCCATCTCCTAGGGGATATTATCTCCAGGGAAAATAAGTAGGTGAAAAGTCAAACGTCCCTTTCCAGACGCCTCCGCCTCTCCTCCTTATGTCAGCACTAGAGTAAATGCAGCTTGAAGTGCTGACAGGCCGGAGTTTTCGAGGGAAACCGTTGAGGACTAGAAACTTGGTGGGTTTTTTTTTTTTTTTGAAGCGCTGTGGTTTTGAGCCCTGCAAACCCTGCTCCCCTGCACTCACCCCATCCGGGCCATCACTTTTGTGACCGAGACGCTTTTGAAATACGACCGAGGCTGGGCGGGCGGGAGAATAGCTTGCAAACCTTTGGAAGTTACTTGAGAGTCGAGATCTGTAAAGGAAAACAAACGAGATCCAGACAAGAGAAAATAAAAACAAACCGATGGGACATTATGGGTTTCGGAGTCCGAGCGGTGCACGTCCTTGAGTTATGGCGATAAGCAAGCCTGCCCCTTTACGGTTTTAAATCATGTTGCTCACCAAGCAAACGATTTTATGACCTTATTTCCCCCAAGTGGTCGTTAAGCGAATTTGCGGGCGTTAAGCAAAACCCCAGAGGGGCCGGCCCTCTCGACCTTCAGGAAAACAGGTCGTTAAATATCTTTCTGAAGGGTTTCAAGGTACCTTTGAATGGTCACTAAAGGGATTAGCCAGTCGTAAATGGAGGACTTAATGCCGTTTGGCCAAAAGACAAAAAAGCAGATTCTGTGTTTGTCCTGCAACAATGAGGACTAGAAACTTGAGAGTGGAGCCACCCGAAAACTCTTTGAAAAAGGCATAAATTAGAGTGTTTGGGTTGGAAGAGCTACTAACTTTTGAGTTTATAATTTAGTTTTTAAAGCGTTATCTATCCCTCCACGTGAGATTAGGTAGCAAAGGCCGGTTAATGATTAATCCAGAGTCATAAATGGGATTATTTAAATGGTTTGGCTGCAGAAGATAAAGCTATGGCTGCCATCGTCCCTTCCCTAGGTATTTCTCGGAGCTCCTGCGTAACTCAGTGGCCACCAACGTATCTGGTGGCAGGGAGTTCCAGAGTCCAAAAAGTGTTTCCTTCACATAAGATGTACCGCAGCTTGGTAGGCCTGGCCAATGTTTTGCCAATTTTGGTTGAGAATGTTTTGAATTATGATAGTTTCATCAATCCTGAATTAGCTTTCTTTTTTTAAAAAAAAAAACAAAAACTATTTTTATTCCCTTGTGATGGGCTTCGTTTTTAGATTTTTTTGTTTTTAATCAAAGTATATATTAGATTTTTCAAATGTTTCTACCTTTATGTATTTTATATACATCTGTATCTCTCTTTCTATCGATCATCTATCTCTACCTCTTCTTTCTCTCTTTCTTTCTTTCTCTATATCGATTTATCTCTATCTTTACTTCTACCCCTCTGCCTCTCTACCTCTTTCTCTCTACTTCTACCTTTCTCTCTATATATTATCTCTCTACCTCTTTCTCTATCTCTACCTCTTTCTCTCTCCCCCTTTATCTCTATTTCTCTCGACCTCTACCTCTATTTCTACCTCTACCTCTACCTTTCTCTTTCTTTCTATCTCTATCTCTCTACCT